GTCATGTTAAGTGGTGTTAATAAGAGGATTAAAATCCTCCTTGTCCTCCTTGTATATCCCCTTCTAGTTTCATATCTAAGGAGGTACTTGTGAATTCTAAGAAAATTCTAACTTTTATTTATTTACTATTATTTATTCTGGATTTCAGGAAATGACATGCTTCTGGGAGGTATGCCATGAACAGCTCTCAAAACCAAAGGCCTTGTATATCTGCACAACAGCAGTGGCATGAGCAGTCACGCAATAAACTTCCCAACTCTGCCTTGCCAGTGACCCTCAATTCCAATCTGGGGAGCTTTCTGGGTGAGAGTAAGGGTCTCTAGGGCACTCAGTCCTTTGCCTCAGGCATGTACTTACACTTGACATCACTGCATCCACACACAGCAAGGCAAGGTACACCATGAGGTAACACTACAACAGAAGACACTAATCAATATAAATTATGATACTCATTCTTTCTCACTCATCAGTATTACAGCCTTATTTCCAGAAGAGCAAAGCAAACCCTGCCTTGCAGCTTCCATATCAGTAACTGCATGTGCATCTTCATCTTCAGATGATTTATGATCAGATAGAAAACTAGTTTTACACTCTTCCATGCTTTACTATTGTGACTCATCTTTTGTATGTGGTAACTTTGCTGAGGTTCTGTTGTCCAAAGTGGTGCAGTAATAGCCACTAGCCAAGATAAGGTAATGATCTTCTTCATCTTAATAAGTTTTATCTGAAAGAGTGCAGGAGGAGGAGGGCATGATGTCTTGTGACAGACACTGTGTGTATATGCATATGGATACGTCCTTGACATGTGCCCAGCACAAGACCGAAGGGATTAAACAAAGCAAAGGTCTTACTCCAAACACTGCTAAACTGTTTTATTTTCATGTTCTCAAAGAGTACCAAAGCCAGGAAAAGCTGGTTCCTCGGAAGACTCAACTACAGCTAATTGTAATTTAATTTAATAGAACGAAAAGGTGTCTCGAGGTGGTTTCCATTCCTATAACATATACAGAAGTTACCTGGAGAGCGACCGTGGTTGTAGAACTCAGGTCCAGCTGTTCAGCAATGTTGTAAACTAAGAATCTGTCCTGCACGGTATTATAATTAGGAGGCACAAATACCTACTGGAACTTTAAATACTGAAAATTGAGATTGGATTCTGACTTAAGCCTCTGGATTTAGTCTCCTTGTAACCATTAAGTGTTCTGTCTTGAGCAACCGCTTCAGTTAAAGCAAATTTTCATTCTGGAGTTAAACTTCTTTGATCGTGAGGGATTTGAAACCATGACCATCCACTGAACACTGGATTCCCTTCTCATTATATCCTTGTATGTAGTCTGCACTCATCTAATCTCCTCTCTTCTGCCTTTCTTTTGGTTCTTACTGACTTAGTGGAAATCTCAGAGGAAGACCTGGCATGCTGTGGAGCATATGACTGCATGATGAGTGATGCCACTAACACCACTGGGTCAGCAGGACCCTCAGCATCTTTAATCTACGCTCTGCTAGGGACCTACGCTGGTAAGTAATCCACACAATCGTTAATGAATACTACTGATGCGGAATCTGCTATTTGTGAATGATTTTGCAGACTGAGTTTCTAACTTCCCCCTTCAATCCCATTTGCTAAAAGGAAGTAAGATATCAATGAGCTGTAAACAAACTCCATCCAAAAAAGTTTCAAAAGCTTTGTGCCAATGCCACATAATTTTTGTTTTAAGGAGCATGGTGTGCTTTCCATTTATTTTTCACCTAGAGTAAAGCAGAAGCCCAATACAGTGTCCCACATTGCTTCAGTGTTTCTCTACAAACTAGAATCAAAAGTATTCTTACATTGCAATTAGAGAATTACAGCAGTTTGTCTGGATATACCTGAGATGATAGACAGCTTTACATTCATTGTCTTTGGTATCAGTAACAGCAAACAAGTTACTCAGAGCAGATTTCTATTTGCGCACAGAAGTCTATGGTGCTAACAGCAGCCATGCTAATGGCACCTGAACTAGCTAACTTCTAGCCTTCTGGGAATGCGTATACAGTTCCCTCAGAATTGGCTTCATAATGTCTTACCACACATAACACAGCTTTATCACAAGAACTGTACTGTAATTTGAGGTGGACCTGAACCACAGCTCCCAGAA